TAAACTCAACATAAAATCAGTATTGAACATATATACTTTCTTAACCCTATAAAGACTGCATCATATTTACTCATATACACAAATTTCTGAGGCAAAACTTTCTGTTGTCTGATTGATAGTTTATACTTTTTTAGCAAGTAAAAGGCTTTTTAGTAAAATTTCAGGTAAAAGGTCATGGTACATGTGTATTTTTTTGCTGTTATATCCATACCGATTTTTATGAAGTAAACCTAAGAATAACTTTTGTCAGTTACATTTCAAGATGAACATTTGCTAGCCTGAAATAACTTAGGTTTACTTCATCATCCATACATCATTAAAAAAAAAATCATGTTAAAATGTGAGTATCCGATAGTTAATGAACATTAAATATGTGTCATCAGGATTTTGAGGAAGATTTATTAATGTTCATCTCTCAATCATCATTATATTGCATTTCATGATATGTTTTGTAAAAGCCTGATGTATCAAATATGATACTCAACAACAAAAAAAACACAGATGCAAACCCTTTTCTTTAATATTTTGCCTAAAAGTAAAAACAAAACTTGGTTTTCCTGACTATTATTTCGAGCTTTACAGGGTTAATGCACATTCCTGGACTTATTGTGAATGATTTGTTGGTGCACAAATGTTAGTCTTTGTGTATTTTTTTGCTGTTATATCCATACCGATTTTTATGAAGTAAACCTAAGAATAACTTTTGTCAGTTATATTTCAAGATGAACATTTGCTAGCCTGAAATAACTTAGGTTTACTTCATCATCCATACATCATTAAAAAAAATCATGTTAAAATGTGAGTATCCGATAGTTAATGAACATTAAATATGTGTCATCAGGATTTTGAGGAAGATTTATTAATGTTCGTCTCTCAATCATCATTATATTGCATTTCATGATATGTTTTGTAAAAGCCTGATGTATCAAATATGATACTCAACAACAAAAAAAACACAGATGCAAACCCTTTTCTTTAATATTTTGCCTAAAAGTAAAAACAAAACTTGGTTTTCCTGACTATTATTTCGAGCTTTACAGGGTTAATGCACATTCCTGGACTTATTGTGAATGATTTGTTGGTGCACAAATGTTAGTCTTTGTAATATTTCATCAAAAAAGTCAATACACCAACCGCCTGACTCCAATTTTTTTACCCAACACCCATTTTTTACAATCCAATCAACTCCAGATGGTAAACCCAAGTCCTGCTCTAACTAATTTCTATTTGATTCCAAAATATGACGCACTATAAAAGCAAAATGGTTGTGAATGACATTTCAGGTTGACTTTAAATAAATAACCACTAGTGACCTAACAATCCCCTGATTATGTATCATTCTGATGTCACAAGCAAGCATTTAGACAGAAACTATTAGGGAGGACACCGAGACTAATGTATCCTCTGAGATCTGTCAGCCCTATGGAGAGAGAAAACAGACAGAAATACAAGAGGGATAGAGTGAAAGAAACTGTACTGGCAAGTCAGCAGACACAGTCTAAAGTCTGTCATGAATTATCCTAATGTATATGGGTGCAAAAGAGAACGAGAACTCTAGTTTGGGGTTCACTGCTACTTCGGAAAAATTGAGCCCTGAATAACATCTCTCGACTGACCTTGAAGTCATACGAGCCCAGACTTGCCACCCTCAGAAAAACTGAATCAGCAGTGCCCTGCCTGGATCTAAACCCAATCACCTCCTCTGGGTCCATGAGGGCAAACATTCATTAGAATAAAAGCCTGAATACTCCGCCAGCACACACACACACACAAAAGCTTTTTCCTTCAGACTGTGATGGATCTATCCTGGATGATGGCCACTGACTACAGATGCCTGGAGATTCACAGCTGCTTTTTGATATTCTATGCATGAGCACTTTTAAATGGAGCAAATAAGACGTACGATTAAACAAGAAGGCAGAAAGCACAGAGATTCATACCAATGTTGCAGAAAATGTTTTTCATTTACATCACTGAAGCCTGAATACTCCGCCAGCACACACACACACACACACAAAAGCTTTTTCCTTCAGACTGTGATGGATCTATCCTGGATGACGGCCACTGACTACAGATGCCTGGAGATTCACAGCTGCTTTTTGATATTCTATGCATGAGCACTTTTAAATGGAGCAAATAAGACGTACGATTAAACAAGAAGGCAGAAAGCACAGAGATTCATACCAATGTTGCAGAAAATGTTTTTCATTTACATCACTGACACAGCCAAACATTCCCCTGAATCAACTATACTGCAGCAACAAAATCCTAAAAAAAGCTAAGAAACTTGTTAAGAAAGCATTATATAACAGCATTCTAACATGGATTGCACTTGATTATGGAGTGTATTTCGTATACAATTTTAGCTGAAAGTGCTAAAAGTTAATGTGCATATAAACAAAAACAGTCAACCAAGCAAACTGGCTTTAAATGTTAAAGATTTATCCGTTCAGTATGTAATTGTGTATAAATGAGACCTCAGTTGCAGTTTAATGTGAGAGAAGCTGAAATTTCTGGTATAATTTCCTGCACTCGAAATCATCTGTCAAGAAACCTAATTAGCATGGATTGTTTTTCCCACTGAGTGACCCATGGGTGTAGATGGAGGTTAAAAGGCTAAACAGAGGGATACACACTAGTTCACAGACTTTCAGAGGAATGACTCATAGTAAAACACACCAAAGACAGAAAAATATGTCTAATTAATGAGAAACTTGACCCCAATTAGTATTAACCCGGGCATTTGTACAGAGATGGATATCTTTAAAACCATTTCCCTTGCTTTTATCTTGTCGCACAAATGATAAAATGATCCATAAGAGAAAATTAAACCCAGCTTGTATTAATATTCAGTGCTTGGATATGAATGCGGGAATGAGTGTGGTATAGCTAACACTGCATTGATTTTGCAACAACCTTAATTGATAAACAGTCCACATGAAAGAAAATCATACTAGTACTCAAACCCTCGGCATACAAAAATAGCTCTGCAGAGACACCCAAAGTAGAAATATATCATATCAGTGCTACTCAAATAAAGTGCTGCAAGCATGACGTATAACTTGGAAATTAGTTGCATTTTAACATTTCAGGTTCCATTGTCCATGTTGATGGGTTTTTGGTTAAATGTCTGAAATAAGGTCTATGGTTAACACAAGCTCAAGATATTAAGTTTTATTCTACAACATAAAATACATTAGGAAAAACAACTTGTGATTTTTTTAAAGCTTTTACTTGTCTTCAAAAAGACGGTTGCTCACAAGTGGCTAAATGGGTTTAAACAAGGCCTATACTCAACATAGCTGCTAACTATTTCTCAACAAATGCTCACATTTATGAAAATCCAGCATTTCCAGTTATTCTATACTTCTGCAGTACTTCACACACAACAGAACTGAAACAATATTACTTTGTATGGATATTATCTATTGATGCTGCACTTCAAAACACTGCTGTTGGTCAGTCACCATGAATTCTTAACAGTTTGACATTGCATCAGATTGGAATCCAATAACAACTTGTCTCTGTGAATTAGGATGTTACTCAATACTATGTGTAAAACATGAAAATTCTTGCGAATTATCAACCACATCCTTCCTAAAAATAAGCTGACACAATGTAGTGCTCGTGAAACAGTGCTAATTATTTTCATCACACCAAAGAACATGTTTTATACAAAGTTGCATCTGTAACAAATGCCCACAGCAGGGTGTTGTCCCCTGGGCTTATCTCAGTCAGACACCATGGAGTCGTGCTCTGGATGGATCTTCAGTTGGTAGCTGTTAGAAAACACTCTCCGTCTTGAGAATGTTCCAAATATGCCTCACCCCTCCTTTCTTTCCCTCTCCCTCTCACTCTCCCTCCTCTATCTGTTCTCTCTCTCTTGTATGGTGTTTTAATGTCTCTTACTCACATTCGAGCTATGCATGCGCACATGTATACATTAGCTTCTCTTGATTCAAATGTCTGAATAAGGACATGATAGCTAGGAATGAGGTTCGTGATGAAACCATGAAGATAGTTTAGCATCCTTCGCAAAAGTCTATTCCTAATATGTCCATGAATGCCCACAGCAGGGTGTTGTCCCCTGGGCTTATCTCAGTCAGACACCATGGAGTCGTGCTCTGGATGGATCTTCAGTTGGTAGCCTATGGCTTTTCCATCTGCTCTGATTTTCAGATACCTTTTCTAATGTGACACCACTTGCAGAGTTGCACCACAGCCGTTCACAAGTTCTTACTTAAATGGAACATATAGTCCACACTAAAGGTTTAGTAACTACTAGCTAGTGTCAGTAGTGTGTAACTAACTGTACTTTATTTGGTTTCACAATTTGTACTTGAGGCAGAATGTACACTATAAACATAAAGGTTCCAAAAGGGATGCCATAGAAGTACCAAGAATAAAGAAATTTTGGTCATACTTTATTTCAAGGTCCAATTCTTGCCATTAACAAACCATTAATTACATTTTTTTAAACAATAAACTTCTAATTTGCTGCATATTATTAGTAAGGTAGTTTTTAAGTTTAGGTATTGGTTAGGATTAAGGGATGTAGAATATTGTAATCTTTTGAAGTCCTGTCACTAGCCTTTTAATGCCAAGGATACATCTCAGAAATAATTGCCCTGATTTATTCTGTTGTAAACTTATCATGTCCACTAATTAACTTACTCCCTAATGGCAATGCATTCCAGGGGGAGAAAGTAAACCATGTGATGCGCTCAGCTTCCTGTGTCCTGGAGCAGGCGTATCAAATGTCATTTCCATATGGTTTAATACTCATGCTGTGCAAACGCACTCCATCAACACATGCACATCTGCTTGTGCCAAAATGAAAAGGGAAACCACATAGATGTGTATTTTTGGCACAACACTATGAACAGCACTTCATTGCGAATATATCACGACACCTCCAGTTGGTAAGTGATATGTGGCTACAGTGGAGTAAAGCGGGACAGTGAATGGAGATGCTTATACGACTACGCGCACAAACTCACTCATTTCTCTGGAGCTGTAGAATCAGATCTTCTCCCGCAGTAATTTTGACCTCTGCCTCAGATGGATGCTGGGAAGGTAAATCAATCAGGTTAGAATAGAATTACCCAATAAATTCCATTATGCAAAAATGGTGGTAGATAGGCTACATGATAATGTAAAAAAAAAAAAAAAAAGTGGGGTCCAAAAACATGAGAGCATACTGAGAGAAGAAGAATATACTGTATGTGTATATATATATACTGAGAAAAACTAAATTAAGCAAATTTAAACTAAATATATGCTAAAAACAGGTTCTTAAGAATATTCTAATATTAATAATTCTAAGTCACTTATCACATTTATTTAATCATTTACTTATTTAACTTTGTTAAACTGATTAGTTGAATTTTGGTTTACTAAAGGTCAAATGTTTTTGCTTTTATATAAACACATTATGATTTTTCGATTATTTTAAAACATTCTGGATAACATACACAAATGAGTTCATGACAATATACCAAGACTTTTGAAAACATTTTTAGTTCAACTTTTCACTGAAATTATTATTCTGAAATATAATGTATTGAATTAAAAAATTAAAAAGTTTGATTCACAAGCCATCTTACGACAAATTAAGCCTGCAAATGTGCAGTTTGACAATATAAAGCACAATGAACCTCTGATGCACTATACTAGAATGATTCTCATTCTCAAAACAACAATACTTAGAGTCAGCATTACCTTAGAGCCCTCATGAGATCTTTTGTATCTGGCTGGGCTGATCCACTTTGGATAAGTGATAAAGTGCTCCGGGTTGTCATGGATGCGAGATGAGTCTCTATGCCAACGTTTATCTAATAGTGCAAAATATCAATCACGTTACCAATAAATAATCAATCAAAATTTGTAGCCAGAGTTCCAGCGCTCAGCATCTTCTATTCCACGAAGACTTCCACGAAACACAACAATGAGCACCCGGTATTATTGCACAATAACTATATACAATAACACTCACCCGTATGTATGTCCTCGCCATGTGCAGCGCATCTTAAAGAGAGATGTAAACAACAACAACATAACAATAAAAATAATCGGAACTGCACTGCGCCCGCGACCATGCAGCGATTCAAATGCACGCCCCGAAGCATCATAAAATGTAAAAATAAAAAAATGCACGAAATAAACGAGCCGTGCACGATGAATTATCATCGATTATGAACAGCATTCATAATGAACAGCCAGCACCGGTGTGTGTCTGCAGAGACCAAACAGAGGCAGTGAGAGGAGCACATCTTTACAGTTCTCTATCACCCTTATTCAAGCACCTCCCCTAGCCTGCCTCCACCATTCATAAAAACATCTATCTATCTATCTATCTATCTATCTATCCTGAACTAGTAGACGTCCTCAGTCTTCAATGGCATGTACAGTTGTTACAGTCACAACATGCTGTTATACAGTACTCACTGTTATAATTTAAGCACAAAATGAGGTCAGGGATACCCGATGTAACCTTATATGAAATAAAATACTCCTCGACACCAAAATAAACTAGCACAGAGTGAAGTGTAAATCATTAAAACTAAAAGAAACAGAGATTTCCATCAGCAGCCTGCATACTGAGTGAGCTATAATAGCTTACTGACCTTTGCTTAAATATTAGTGGTAAAAATATCAAGTGCATGCTTGGTCTTGAAAGGCACTTACAGTTGTTACAGTGACGGTGTACATTCGCTGTTATAATTTAAGCACGAAACGAGGTCAGGGATACCATATTACACACTACACACAACATTGTGTGTAATAATATACACCTTGGCTTCAAAACAGCTAGCACAGAGAGTAGTGTAGAGGGGAGATGTTGGTGCTTGCGGTGATTCATTAAAACTAGAAGCATGGATAAGGGGAGAGAGAGATTTCGTGATCTGACTACATGCTGTGTGAGCAATAATTCTGTGACTTCATCTAATTGCGTCCAACATCAAAGTACAGGAATGACCAGACCAGCACACACCAGATCTGTCAAAGCTTTGATATTACATTTTTAAAGCAAAAATTTGGGTTACAGTGGGGGCCAATTTGTAATATTATATATATATATATATATGCAGGGCTCCAGACTAACATTTGAGAGCAGTGGCACCAGCACCACTAAATTCTACAGATGGTGGCGCCAGGAGCAGATTTGGTAGCGCTGGGGGTGGTGTGTGGGAGTATTAAAATATAGATCATTTAATCATAAAATTACTATTGTTTTGCAAGTGCAGTTACTAATAATAGTTCATGTTCATTTCTTGTTTTTCTTTTGTTTATTATTTATACAGATTTGACAGTAAAGCAC